GTTTGTGTGTACAGTGATCCCTCTCTATAACGCGGTTCACCTTTCGCGGTCTCTCTGCTTCGCGGATTTTTTTTTGTGTGTGTGTGTGTGTGCAGTTTTTTTCTCAGTGCATTGTGTTCTGCGTCCTGATTGGCTAAAATATACGTAATACAGATTGGCCATTCAGGAGATGAAAACTGAAACTTTGAATGCCTGCTGAAAAAAAACTGTGTTATAACACCTGAGGCTCTGCCGTGTGAATCTCGCAAAGCAGCTTGGAGGAGACGCTTTAATGACATGACTCCGGATGACATTAATGCCGTGATTGATGAACACGCACATCCATCCGCTGACCTGAAAACAGGTTTTGTTCTTTGGTTTCAATGTAGAGTATTTAATTATGCTGTGTAATAATTGTAAAAAAAAATAAAGGTAACTCTACTTCGCGGATTTCACTTATCGCGGGTTATTTTCGGAACGCAACCCCCGTGAAAAAAGAGGGATCACTGTACTTCAGAAACCGGTGATCTGTTAGGATTTTAAAGATTCAACCATATTTTTAGATGACGGAGCACTGTCTAGATAAAATATCCAGTGATTGGCTATGATTAACACAGATTCACCAAAATTAGACAAGAGCAGATTTTAAGAACATTGTCTGGTCGTCACATAACTGGTTTCCTAAAACATGACAATGATTTGATTGTACCTTCTTCAGTCACTACTTCTCAATGTTTAGAACATGTCTAGAATATGGTGGAACAGGATAAAGGAAGACAACTGAATCTATTGTACAAAGAACTGAGGCACTTCTGAAAACAAAGCCTCTTTTGGTTTCAGACCTCTTTAGATAAATTTTTCTTTACTTAAAAGCCTGTCAGAATACAAAGGTCAGTTTAAATTGTTTCATGTATGAAACATACCAAATACAATTTTTGGACAGATTCTGTAACACTAGGAAATCAGTAAAATTATACTAAAACCAATTAATCATCCTACAAACTCAGTAAGTAAATTAGTGATTGATTACAATTGTTTTCAGGATGAATTTGTGGATCTTCTGTTTGTTCTTCCAGGAGTTTTTAACCCAAACAAAGACTCACTACGACTCAGAGCTGGAGGCTGTGGACTTCAGAACCAAATGTGAGGAAGCCAGAGTCAAGATCAACAACTGGGTGGAGGAAAAGACGCAAGGTGGATCACACACACCATCAGTTCATCACATGACCCCCAACTAACCCAATATCAATGTCAATTTATTTACAAAGCACTTTAAAAACAGGTATTAACTGCGCCAAAAGTGCTGTACAATATTCATAAACACCACAGATAAAAACACAATAATGATTAAGAACTGTAAAGATCATTAGCTCCATCTAGTGGAACAGTGTGTAATTGTGATTTTGTTAATTAGGCTGTGTTTTCGGTGCTGATTCTCATCTGATCCGTGTTCTGCTCATGTTGTCAGGTAAAATCAGGAATATGGTGGTGAAGGGCATGGTGAACAACATGACCAAGATGGTGCTGGTTAATGCCATCTACTTTAAAGGCAAATGGAGTGTCCCCTTCCAGAGATCAAATACCCGTGAGGTTCAGTTTAGACTCAACAAGGTAACAATGGCCACCAATACAGAGTATTTTCTCAATATGTAGGTCTTTATCATTGCTGTTCAAAATAATGATCTTGCTTTTATAGTAACTGTGACGTGAAACGACTATGTTAATGTGGAGGGATTACTCCATCGTGTTCCCAAGCTACAAAGGATCTCTATACAGTTCTTCCAGGGTTTTCTTGGTCTGCCCAGTGAAATGTACAAACTTGAGGTGGTAAGAAGGAATCCTGAACAAAAGTCTAAACATTCCCAACTAAATCCATTGGGTGATAAGTACCAGAAGCTTCAGTCTTAGATCTTCTGTCCATCAACCTCATCCCCTGAAATGATGTAACTACAAGGTTGTGATCCCATTCTTTACCAAGTACTCAAGACAGAACTCCAAAAGTCTGATGATATGATTGAAACAGTTGGTAAAAGGCCATCAGCTGGTTATGCTAGGTGCTCACATTCGTCTGCTAAATGGCCCCTTCAGTTTCTTTTGCATCAGAGACCAGCACAAAATTTAACCACTAGATATTAATCACCTTCAAGGAAGTGCCCTGGTCTCCATAGTCCTATCATTGTGATCTCTATAGTATCGTCATCGCCCAAACAAATGAGCAACAAGAGTCATGCAGTGCTCAAACCTCTCCACCATATTAGAAAAAAACCCCACTGTATTTTTGCCCAATTATTGATCTAACTTAACTCATAAAGAAAGGTATTGTTATTTTTTTTCGGTTAATGAGCTCTTCCTGTGTTTGTCCACAGAAAGACACCAAACCTGTGCAGATGATGGAACTTAAAAGCCACTTCCACCGTGCCTCCATTGATGAAGCCAGTTGTGAGGTATTATTGACCTTGGAGCTCACAGGTGGAAGCTGAAATGATGTAATCAGAGACGTGTGAAGCGAGGCAGTTTGGAATGGGTTTTGAGGCGGGTTACATGTAAAGCAGCAGTACAACTCAAATCGCCTGACAGAACTTGCTCAGTGGGAAAATAACCAAACTTTATGAGGTGTCTCACTATGATTCAAGCATATTTGAGAGCCTGTACTTCTCTGTAATGGTCGTGCATCTTTTATTGGACAGATTCTGGAGATTCCCTATGAAGGGAAGGCCCTGAGCATGCTCATCTTTTTACCAAGACAGATAGAAGATAACGAAACAGGTCTGAAGAAGGTAGGGCTCTCTCTGCCTCACAGACTGATGAAACCTCACCACTGACACATATAATGATCGAGCTATCACTTGATCAGCTGGAGGACCTCCTGACGGCTGAGACATTCATGGAGTGGACTCATCCACACGAGATGGAAGGAGGTGAGATTGTCGTGAAGCTGCCTCGATTCAAGCTGGAGGAGAAGTATGAGCTGAACAAAGTCCTGAGCAGCATGGGCATGGTGGACGCTTTTGACGAGACAAAGTGTGACTTCTCTGGTGAGACATGTGGAAGGAGACTGAGATGTTTCAGATGTAGTTAAGTGGATTATGGGTGGAGTGGGGTCCATAACTAGGCTTTTACACTGTCAAATCATGATCAAGACTATTGCTTTCAAAATAGACTTGTTGATGACAGAAAATATCAGCCTGAAATTTAAGCTACATAAAACCTTTTTGGTAATTTTTCTTTAAAATTGTCCTTGCTGATTATGCTATTATAAGTCAGACCCCACACCCTTTTCCCATCAATGCAACTTCTGATTTTGTGGTTAGTAAGCCATTCTACTAGAGTTTAAATTGCGGCTACATATGTGGTGTTTTGGATAAATTATAGTCAGTGATTTTACAGAGGAGCTATTTATTCAACACTTTCCAATGACACAACTTTTATGAGCGGTGTGCTGCTGTGATTGCTCTGGTGGTGCCAGCAGTTTGTTTGTCCAAAAAACAAACAAACAAAAAACATTATCTTCCTACTTCTTCCTGTTGTCTTCTTTGTGGTTTTCAGCTGTAGTAACATCTGGTTGTTATTCACGTGACTCATGTGAGGTAAAAAAAGGTGTTTCCATTGCAATTTTGCACAATACATCTATTTTCATACGATAAAAAAATAAAAAATTAATAGTATCGCAAAAACTTTTTATCAAAAAACTTGAGTTTTTACAAAATTGGCATGTTTCCTTTAATTCTCCTAATTTCAATTTGCACAATTTTATGGTTAATGGCTGCTGAGCAGTTTCTATCATAGACCCGTCATGCATCGTTGCTAGTGGAAGTAGTAGCTAACAGGTCCGTCAGGTATGTCAACACATGTTCTGTTTTCATAGCTTGCTTTAGACTGACGTTCCTCCCATGAGCCTCACCGGCTGTAAGTGGGCTAAACGGTGAAGGTGAGCAGCCGTAAAACACTGTAAACATATTGCTTTAGAACTTCAATTGGAAAAAGGAAAGGCTCAGGTCATAAGCATTTGGACCTCAAATCTGGACAGGTCACACAAAGTGTTCAATTTATTTGTAGTATTCCTTCGTGGAAGCACACTCTCTGTGGTAAAAGCATCTCTTTTGTTTTGAATACTAATATATACTTTTGGTTAGATATATCCCTAAAGCTGTGGTCTGTAATCCTGGAATGTCTCTTCTCTTATCTGTGACAGGAATGTCAAGCAACAAAGGACTCTTTTTGTCACAAGTTTCCCACAAGGCTTTTGTAGAAGTGAACGAGGAAGGAACTGAAGCTGCTGCTGCCACAGGTAGTTTGGTGGCAGATAGCGTTTCCTACTTCACTGCAGACCACCCCTTCCTCTTCTTCATTCGAAATAGAATCACCAAGACCATTCTCTTCGCCGGACGCTTCTGCTCCCCCTAGCACGCTCTATGACCTTTGGAGCAGGTGGGCTACTAAACTCCAGTCTTTGAGGGCTAAAGTCCTGCCACATCTAGATGTCCTCCTGGTTCAACACGCTTAAATGAAATGGATGAGTTGCCTCCTGAACTTGCAATGACGTTCTTCAGAGTCAAACTAGTAACCAATGGCCAAAAATTCTCACCAGCACACTCTATATCCCGTAAAATTACCAAAACAGCAGCCACACTACGTCGCTGTCGTTCACAAAATTGCACAGTTACAAAGGTCGCCGAGTCCATTTCCAAAGGTTGTGCCGAAATTCATCTTGGCAGTCTATGTTTGCACTGTAGTAAAGATTCTACGATAAACATTAGGTGGAGACGAACTTATTTGAATGCACGTTTAATTGTTTTCAAGTGTTAAGCTGTCAAAATTGTAAATTTCTAAGACTAGCATGAAGAGTTAAGATCAGAGATGGTCATTCCCTGGGTGTAATGACATAAACTATGAAATTATCTTTATTCCTTCTGGTTCAAAGTGATATAATGATAGGGCGTTTTTTTTTTTTGTTTGTTTGTTTTGTTTTTTTAATATGATTTCCTTTGTAGTGCCAGAACTTGTTGCCATATCTTGGAACATTTTCTATGGATTACATTCTAAATTTTGAAATTATTTCTTAGTTGTCAAACTTTTTGTTGTCTGGACAAAAGTGTGGAAAATCCATGGGCAATAAATAGCTGTAAGAATCCAAGTAATTGTGTTGTGTGATGCAACTCTTATAAAGTAGGGTGAATAAGTATGTGATGGTCTGTTCTTCTGATTTTCTAAGTTTAGAAGATTAATTACCAGTAAAATTTCTGCTTATTTTTACTGGATATTTTAATATGGTAGAATTACATCATTCTCTGATGTCATCATAACATTGCATTATTCTCATTTTTGCATAATACAAAATTAAAACGAATGTGGTAGGTACAGTCTATAAGGTCACATAAGCATGGACAATAGGTGGCGGTATGCACCCCCGAAGTTGTTTGGAATCCATTAAGAATGAGAAGAAGAAGCTTAATTAAAAATATTTAAGAAGAATGAGGATGTATTTTCTGCCATGATTACATGCCAAATGGTACAAGTTTTCAATATGTTTAATAATACTACTACTAACAATAAAAAATATAAGGACGGATCCCAGACGCCAAAAAAAAATCCAAGAAGAAGAAGCTGACGTCATCACACGCCGAACGGTACAGATAGTGCTTCCGGAGCAGATTGTGGAGTATCTTTGAAGTGACAGGTTGCATTTAAAGGTTCGTTGATAGACTTGAGTCTTGTCCCAAAAGTGCAAGCTCCAGAAAGAGCAAATGAAGATTTAATAAGACGAAGGCCTAAGTATTAACTTGAATGTGCCACTTACTGCCTAATCCTTCTGTACCACCTGCTTTGTGTGACGCATAACAAACAGTTGGAATGTAAATTTTAGTAGTCTACTGTTTTATTGACATTGTACAGGTATGAATATGTTCACATTTAAGCAGTAATTGCATGTACTGAAGAACAAGAGGGACTCAAAACTCTGAATATATTTATTTGCAAGCACAGTTGTGTTGGCAACAAAAAAAAAGTTGTCATCTTTACTCATATTGCTTTTGCAAGTTGCTATGCTTGGGCTTGTTTGAGCAATTCATTGCATCATGGAGTGAAATGAAGAAAGTCGCTTTCCGTAATTCACTCCCAACATTCACACCCAAATAAACTAAGTGACCTTCAAGTAGCTGACTCTTCTCAACTGGAATTTTCTGCTGAATTTGCTTTTTTTTTTTTTTTTTTTTCTCATTACGTTTGACCTTTTTAGGTCAAAATGGCACATTAGATGTGTGAGACTGTTCCTTCAAAATGACCAACACCTGAGCTATTAAAGGTTTTATCTAGATTTATTTGTATAAATATGTATAAATTTTACTGCTTCTAATCAGATGTTAGAGAAAACTGATTAAAAAATCCTGGTGCGTGATGAAAGTCTACCTTTCATGCGTGGTTACTCATTTTTTCCTGCTTGGTTCCCACCTTTCTTTGAAGAAGTGGAGGTGTGGTTGGATGGATGATCTCAGTCTTCACAGGAACAGATTACACCAGCAGTTCATGATTATTTTCATTTCATATTTGCCATTTGTTCTTGCAACATAATCTGGCATTGACAGCACCAGATCCAGAGGGCTTCCAGGTCTCAGACTTAAAATCATCTGAAGATTTTAAGTCTCTCTCTCTCTCTCTCTCTCTCTCTCTCTCTCTCTCTCTCTCTCTCTCTCTATATATATATATATATATATATATATATCTTTGTATATATTTTATCAAACAACAAAGTTCTGCTACTAGTTCATTACATTTTCTTGTATTTGTTGTAATAGATTTTTGCTAACTAAAGAAATATATCTTAAGTAAATTAATAATTTAATGCTGTATGTTTTATGCTGCATTGGTATTTTTAGTCTGTGGGGTTGGAATGGTGTCAGTTGATAGAGATAAAAGAATGAGCACGTCATTCATTTAATATGCTGAGTTTTGTGAATTTATGGGTAAAAAAAAAACTTCAAATATCTTTGGAAAATGATTTGTCATAGGTGTATTGTCTAGTAGTATTTATCAAAAGAAACTGAGGATGATCAAGGCATCTAAATACAAATAAGTAATCTTAAGGCTATCAGTTTTACTTATTTTGATTTTAGATTAAGCAAAATTTACCTAATTTACTTAAAAATCTTTAACTTTGTGCTTAGTATAATTTACTAGATATAGATGAGTAAAGTATACTTGAATTTGTGTTATTTAAATTTTCTTTAAAAATTTTTGTGCAAATTGTCTCTAGGATTTTTTTGAGTAAATCTTACATGTTGGTTTTTTCAGTATAGGGCAAGTTTTCCTTTATACAGTAAATTTGTCCCAGTTTGTTAATTAGTTGGCCAATAGTTATAAATAAAGACTCATTGAGCTTTTTATATAAAAAAGTGAAACATTTCAGTTGATTTGTCCAAACAGTTCATTGACTGAATGAGAAGTGTGTTTGTTTTTCTCAGTCAGAGATCAGCCTTTAAGCTTCATGGATTTATTTTTTATGATATGTTCAATTTATCTTAAAGAAACAAAGGGTTGATGGGGTGACCTAGCCCTCCACCGCACCCACAAATTAGCTCCAACCCAGCCAGCATGCCTAGGTGGGACCCATGTGGGGACAAGGAGGGCAGACTATATGGGTCCCATATGGGTTTGTCCGCGGGTTCCACGATGGCCCCACATGGGTTTGCCCATGTAGGGCCACAGCCCACATGGGTGCTACATGGGCCCTAATTGGACAAAACCCATGTGGGCCACCACCATATAGGGCCCATGCAGGGCCCATGTGGGCTCTGGCCCTACATGGGCAAACCCATGTGGGGCCATCATGGAACCCGCAGACAAACCCATATGGGACCCATATAGTCTGCCCTCCTTTTCCCCACATGGGGCCCACCTAGGCATGCTGGCTGGGAAGAAACAAAGAAATATCTGATTTCTCAGAGAAGCTGCTGTGCAACCTGGGCGTGTGCAACATCAACACAGGTGGGACAGTATTTTGTGAGAATAAAGGTGTTGTTTCTTACCTGGTGCTTGATTTTAGCCTTGAAACTGGTAAATGTGGGACATCCAGTCTGTGACCTTAAGATGCCACCAAATGTAACACTATCAGTTATTTAGCTCAGGAGGCTGTTTGCCTTTCCACTTAGGTTTTGGCTAACTTTTTATTCCTTAATAACTTTAAAATGGTTTTTGCATTTTCTCTGGTTCTTTTAATAACTACAGGTATAAAGGCATTCATGATGATTTAAATGTGATTTTTTTTTAAAGTGCTGCAGGAAAGGAGGTATACTGAAATTAAATTGAGCTGTTAGAACATAAAATATCCAAGGTTGTTAGGTGGAGATGTTTGTAATGGAAAAACCTTTAAAAAAAAAACAAACAAACAAACAAAAAAAAAGACGGTTGAGACACAAACACACCCACAAAGTCACACTGTCCTCAATTCACATCAATGTAAAACACTGAAAACATGCAAAACCTGTGATTAAAAATTAATTCTGCCTCAAAACTTAAACTAAAAATTTATTTTGAGTCCGATAAGCACTCATTGTCCCGTTGACTGAATCACAATTCAATCAAAGTTATAAATGTGTTAAAAGGTTAAAGTCATGTTGTGTTGTGTGGTTAAAGTCTTGTGGCAACTTATTTTGCACAGAGAAACAAAATTTCTACTGTAATATTTGTTTTATTAGTAGAGTCCCACTATATTGAAATACTATCTCATTATATTACAAATTTTTTAAATAGAGAGACGGAAACGGGCTTCCGTACAATATTATTTAGCTTTTTGACTATTTTCGTAATTTTTCCTGAAAAAGAGCTCATGACAGTGTTAAAACCACAAGATAACGTTTGTTGTTGTTGTTGTTATTATTATTATTATTATTATTATTATTAGTAGTAGTAGTAGTAGTAGTAGTAATTGTAAGAAAACTTTTTCTCAGCTCAGGCCGAAGCATTTTATCGCTATCCGCTCGGCTTCCGTAGTCAGGACATTTGCGGAAGTTTATTTTTTTGTTTGAAGGGGTGTGTCCCCGTGTCATTTATAAAAACCTGCGCTTCAACCAGCATTCTTCATGTGACCCAAACCCTTTCTGTGGAGCACACGACAAGCGTCTGACAGTGAGTATAGTTTGTGTCATTCAGTTTGTGAGACGCGACATTTCTGGTTTCCCAGCGAAACACCCAGAAGTAATGGAGTACAAATGCTGTCGTAACGATTTTCCTGCGCCTTTATGCGTTTAATGTTGCAGCTTAAAAGCTCTCATAGTGATAGTTTTGAACTAATTGGTAGTTTCCTCTTGCAGTTCAACATTCACGTTTATATTGCTCAGCTTGTTCTATTTATTGCAGTTTATTTTGGGGGGTGGAGTTTGACTTGAAAGAAGAATAAAACCTGATAATGTTCTTAATAATAACCTCTGTCTTTGTTTCATTGTCCTCCAGGCACGATGGCAGCAGTAACTCCTCTGGTTTCAGCCAACACCAGCTTCTCTCTGGCTCTGCTCAAAACGCTGGGGGACAAAGACAACACCGGAAACCTCTTCTTCTCTCCTTTCAGCATCTCCTCGGCTCTGGCCATGGTGTTGCTGGGAGCCAGAGGAAACACAACCGCTCAGATGTCAGAGGTACAGCTAGTGAAACACACACGCCACCTGTTTAAACTGTCACATTATTAGCATTCATGAGAGTGATTTTAATTTTTATTAGCACACTAGTGACAGATTTCCTCACTTTTTGTTTTACTCAGCACCAATGAGGCAGTGCAAAAACATTAAAAGTTCAGATTTTTTGAAGTGAGTTGTTGTTAAAAGATTATAAGGAACCACCTGCAAGGAAAAACTCTTGTTTTGTCTTCATTTATTTTTATTGTTGTGAGTGTAGCTCAAAGTTTATCTGAAATTGATCAATTGAGGCAGATGTTAGAGGAAAATAAAACATAAAGACTCTATTAAATGGTAATGTGTATGTACTAAGCAGGCCTCTATGCTTTGTAAGTATCTCCAATATTGCAGTCAATATGCACCACAAATGGGCTCTTTGCACCTAAGGCGTTGATGTCACATCTCCAGGATCTAATGCGGCTCACTTTTTTCCGCTTTGAGTTAC